TTGTTTCCCAGTGACTCCTCTGTTCATTTATCACTTACCCCCTTTTTTTGTTAGTTGCATACTTTCAATTGTGAGCACTATGACTGCAGACACACAAAAATGTTTTTGCCCATGCGTGTGTGTGCACGTGTGTCTGTTGGCACAATACTCCATAAACCACAGGAAAAAATCTTTTATAAAACTTGCAGAAAGTAATTAGTGGATGCACATCTGGAACTGATCAAATTCTGGAGTCAATCTAAATCATATCTAATTTAAAATTAGCCTTCACAAACATGGCTACAGCTCAGTCAGCTTTACAGATACGGAACTAAAATCTGATGAGGTAGTTGCTGGGAGTCATTCACATCAAGTATTCTGAGTGTGAGACAGTGGTGATTTTAGCCTCTTTTGGGGGGTGCTCAAGCACCCTTAAATTATGACTCAGTACCCATGAAAGTTAAGGAACGACCATTACGATTTTATAAGGAAACTCAGTTGTTAAATCTTAGATTCACCAAATTATGTAATAAATCTTTGTGAGAGAAGAGGAGCGCTGCGTCTGTAGCATCTTAGCTAGCGCGTCTAGCATAGTATTGTAATATTGTGTGTATAGTATATATAGTAGTATAGTATTGTGCATCTAGCATAGCATTGTAGTATTTAGTATTGTGCACTGCAATACAGTTGTCGGCATTTGTCAACCGGGGTGTGGTTGGGGGTGGGGGTGGGGGGTTAGGATGTGTGAGAGAAGCAGTGTGTGCCCTATTCACACAAGGAGAGCTGTTGGTCAGGCTACTTCTTGTGGCATGCTCTCTAAAATAGTTATTGAATCAAGTGTTTACTTATGTAGGTAAACGAAGATGTTTAACAACCTGTTAAAATACACCAGAATTCAGGAAATTACAATCAAGGATTCAAGGTTCTTTATTTGTCATACACATATATACATGTGGTGGAAAGAAATTGTTTACACAGGGTCCCAGTTACATCCAACAAAATCTATTTTACATCTATTTTATTCAAAATTTTATGGGGTGGACACCCAGACCCCGTCACTCCATCAATGTGTCCCCCCTCCCACATTGCAAATGCTTCTGGCGCCAATGGCCACCATGTTATTCAAGTCAAGAGCCATTGTCAGCACTGGGGGCTGAGCACCCCTAAAGGTCAGATTCTAGAATCGCCCCTGGCATGAGCGCTTGTGATATTACATGAAATCACACATATTTTTATGTTTTGATCAGAACAGCAACAACTTGATCATTTTCTCCATACGAGATGATCTTAGTATGAACATGATAAACATTATTTTAAGGAATGCTCGGCCTTTATTTTTGTATCCGTTTTGGTGCTTTGTGAGTATTTTACAAATTACTTATGCCGTTATGTATCGCTTGGCCGAGGTTTCGCTTCCCACCCTGGCTAACTTCGTATTTAAACCATACATTTGCACGTGTTGCTTCTTTTTGTTTACATTTATATTTTAAGTTTGGGTTCATATTTTTTAGGTGATAGCAAATTATAGAAGCCTTAAGAACTACAAGGTTAAACTATTTCAGTACTGATAAAATTTTTACCTGTTAGCCAGTTAGTCTTATCCAGCCCAACAGAGTACAAAGTATTTTATGCCTATATTTACTTTTGTGATGTCTTTGCTACTGCCGTCTCGAGATCTGATTCATGTAATCTTATTTGTTTGTGCTAATAAGTACTGCTGCAAACAAGCTGCAACCAGAGAGAAAATGTTTGTTTTATATTATATTCATATATAGTGTGATGTATCAATATAATGTATCAATATATCATATAGTGTGATGGTGTCATCGCAAATTATTCTGGAATATTGTGATATGAATTTGAGGCTATATTGCCCATCTCTAAAGGACACAAAACAGAAAAAAAATTCAGTTCCCATTGAATTATTAATGGTTTTCTTATCTTTTTAAATGTGTTTCAATACCATAAGGATGGTTGGAGAAGACACTGTAAATTGTTTTTATGTTTTTCTGTTAAATTTTAAATTTAAATAGAAATCAAATTCATATAATCAAATATAAATCAAAAATAAATCAGAATACACACAAAAAATCAAGTTAAATAATAAATCAGGGAATCGTTTTTTTTATTTTTTATTTCTCAGTTGCAGCATTAAATAGACAGTTGTGTGTCATTTCTCCGCTGCCATTATGGATCATCAATAAGACATTATTTTAATTTTGAACAACTATTATTTTAAGCATCTTTCTTAGCAGCCAAGCAATTACCTCCTTAGCGGCTATTAAAAAAGCTGGTTGTTCAAGTTCATTTAAACGCACCATGAGTGTAAAGGAGTGTGACGCAGAGGCAGGTGGAGTGACCGGTTCACTTCTTCAAACTATTTAAATAGAACTTGTGTTGAGTCACTTAAATGAGCTTTGATTCACCTCATGACGGATGAAGCAGACTGAAAGTGCTGCTGAGCTGTCAGGGAAAAACAAGTGCATCCTTCACACACACGCTTCACTGCTTCATGCTTCTCTTTCACACACACACACAATCTTCACAAAGTTGCCTTCAGCACAACAAACACTTGCTCCTTGTTTTTTCTTTTGCACACAGTCTTCTTTACATCAGTCACACACCAAGTCTTTCATCGACGCCTCTTTAGCATGTGCAACAATAAGCCCGTGTCTATAATAACATACTGCCTTTTATATGTAACTTACACAGATGTGCACTTTGGTTTGTTGCTTCCAGGCTGGCTGATTTAAACTATTTTAGTCATCCCCGCTCCACCAGGACAGTAATACCTGCTTGCTTTAAATGTGTACTTGATGTTTTTTTTCACATGCATAAGTGCAGGGCATGCACACCAACAAGTTTCTCTAAGGAGAACATTGACAACTCGTCAGCACAAGCGAAAATTTGATTGTAGTTGGAGGTTTGCCTGCAGTCATGCTTCACACCTCGGCCATGTTTGCAGTCGTCACGGATCACAGAGTGGAGGGTGACAGATGGCGTGCTGACAAGTGACACACACATATATACACACACACGCAGGAGTCAAAGTGATTGAAAACCCAGACAGACTAAGAGATTGATTGATAGTTTATCTGCCGTTTGCCCTCAAACCCTCCAGGAAGTAACTCTTGTGGATTAGTCCGCACGAATCACAGCTTTTAACTGTTCCAAACAGCAGACTGGTTACCAGTTTGTCCCTGGCAGACCGGTTTGGATGTTTGACGAGTTTCATTTGACCTAAGGCCATTAAACTCGCTCAGATTCATCTGCAGACTTTTACGCTGTTAGTGCTCGACAGAGTTAGAGTTTGGCAAGAAGGCTGATAAAATGGTGGAGAGGATACCAGTAACCTGAAAGAAAAAAAAACATGCTTGGATGATTTAAAAAAAAATATGTAGCACTTTGATTTTGGGAAGACAGTAAAGAAAATATAACGGGGCTGTTCAACTGGTGGTCCGGGGGCCAAATCAGGCTCATGGTGAGCTCAGTTCGGCCCACCAATGGGCTCATTTTTAAATAAAACTAGATTTTAAATTGTAAAACAAACTGACTTAGTGACAATAACGGATGCATTTCTGGACCCTGAGCTCTTGGCTTTCAGTAACTGTGCCCCCCTGAGCAATTTAGTTGAATAACCCTTGGATATACTGTAATGTAGGATTTTTTTTTTTGTATGTTTGAAACTGATAAATGACAATTTCCATTACTTTTTGCATAAATTTGATGTTTAAATAAAAATATATACAAACTTTATAAGAAATCACATGAATTTTACCAGTTACCTTGAGAGTTTTTATTTCCATTTTGCATAAATATAAGAAACTATACAAGTGTAAGTTAATTATTTTTCAACTACTGTTTGGTTTTTCTCCAATACTTGTGTTTTTATCCCCAAAATTAGAGCGGTGACACAAAAATGTTCTATCTACCGGTAAACGCCATGACAAAACTACTTTGTATTTGGAAAAAGAAGCAGTTAATATATTGAGATGTATGCATTATATTCTGAGTTTTTATCAAAATGGCTGTTTTTGATAATTTTGACTAATTCACGGGGGGAAGGGGGGGGGAATCAAAATTATTTAAGTTATCCAAGATTTCAGGGAAAGGATTTTCTGTCTGTCGTTTCACAGCAGAAGGTTTCATCCCGCAAAGTCAAATGTAGATGTTTCTATTCAAACATTTAGTTCCTGTTTTATAATTGTTAATACTGTTCTTCCAACTTTGAACACATTGGACCAAAATATGGTAACTAAAGTCTTGTTCTTAGCTTATTCGCAGAGCTTTGGGTACACTGTATTTGTCTTAAACACAGAATGTTTGGGGAAGAATTGTTTAAAGCCACTTTGACTTAACTAAATGATGGGAACAATGAGAAGAAGAAGACAAAAAAAAAAAAAAGACAGCCGAAGGAGCAGGATGCAGGTTATAATTTCCACAAGACTTGTCAAAACATCTCATTTTGTGGAGCTTTGCATAATTTTATGCCAAAATCTGACTTCAAAGTTGAAAGCTGATGAACGGTGGGTTTGAATGGGTCTTACCGGAGACATCTGATAACAACACTGTTGTTTCGCACAGTGCCTTGCAGAACATTCAGGATGAAACATTTAGGTTAACGTTTGCAGAAGAAACAGACTGAAGATAATTATTTCTGGTCTAGTGGTGATGCAAAGTCTCCGAGGCTGCTTTTTTTCAGCTTTCCTGCCTCTAAAAAGGAAAACATTTGGAAGAGGCATCATGCGGTAGATGGGAGGGAGTGGTTGATCCTCCCTGTATGTTTCCACGGCACAAACCTTGTGGTGAAATAAAGCGAAGCATTGAAGCGGGACCTTTTGAAGTGGTGCTGATTTGGACACACCTCTAACCACTAAACAGCCCAACCCCGGTGCAATGACATATCCATATGAAGAGGCCAGCAGACTGTATGATCAGCAACAAAAGACACATTTTAGGAGGCAAAACAAATAATCTTGTCTAATTCGTTAGTTCCCTAACAAAGTGTGTTTGTGTTTCAGGAAGATGAGATGCCAGAGGTGGAGATTGACATTGATGAGTTGTTGGAGGTCAGCAGTGAAGAGGAGAGAATCAGCAAACTGCAGGTACAGTATTGTTCAGCTGCTGTTCAGTGACGTACGGCACATTTAACAACATGCAGCAGCTAAATATCTGAGATACTAGTTTTATTTTATTGTTTTAGTTGGTTTTTTTTTGTTTGTTTAAATCTATCATCATGGATAAAAACAGCTTTTTTTTTTTGCTAAACATAAGATCGATCTTATCTTAAATTTACTCACATATCACTAAGTAAGGTCATCGTAAAGCTTTATTTATCTCACCAACTACCCAAACTTCTGGATGAACAAACTTACAGAAAGCAAACGCAGCAATTTATATGACTATTTTCAATTCCAGATATTTTATGGTTGATTTGCAGCTGTTTCATTTACAAAGTAAAAGAAATGCCTTCTTTTTTGGATTATAAGGCGCATTAAGTGAAACAAAACAGTCAGATGAGTCAATCTTTATTCAACTCATTCACAATAACCACATAAAATTGGTTTGAGATCATTGAGCACAACCAGAATTAATACATAAGTTGCACCGGATTATAAGTCTCACTGTCGATTTTTGAGAAAGTTAAAGGATTTTAAGTGTGCCTTATAGTCCGACAAATACGGTACTAGCAGAAGTGTACCTGCTTGTGATAACCATTCTCAGGAATACCTAGCAATACTAGTCCTGCATAGTTTACATCCTTATAAATAAATACAGGCCATACTTGAAATACACCTGTAGATGTAGCTGTGAGTGAAAATTACAAAGTAATGTTTTGAAAACTTGGATGCAACAAGTCTAAGCCCTGAACTGTCTGCCTTTCTTTATACAGGAAGCACTAACAGACTGCTACAAACCCATAGAGGTGAGTTCAGTTAAGGTGGCATTAATCATATCTGATCAAATGTTCAAGATCAAATGTGTGAATTGTATTTTATTTTGTGTATGGTATCATCGTTCATCATATAAACACAATTATCTTTAAAGGACCAGAGAATACTCACAACAAACACTAACATCCTGTTTGACATTGTAAGCAAAAATGATCAATGTGCACCCAACAATTTGTCATTTAACTTCATAATTTTCTTACTTGTGATATTTATTAGTGCCATATGAGGTTAGTGTTTAAGATCAAACGAGGTCATGCTATAATTAAAGATATGACCAGTCAGTCACATTAACTCACCACATGTCAACATTTCCCTGTGTGATCTCCCCATCTGCCACCTGATTGCGTGTGTGTGTGTGTGTGTGTGTGTGTGTGTGTGTGTGGTGGTGGTGGTGGTGGTGGTGGGGGGGGGGGGTTCACGTAAAAAAACACTACAAGGTTAATGGGATCCAAAGCTGCAGCTGCCTCTAAATGCCACACCTGAAACTGCATGCATGCACACACTTGTACAAAAACAGTTTATGACACAATGCTCTGCCTGCCCCCTACCCTTGACTATATTTATCTAAACTGGATGCCTGGTCCTAACACTTCCCTCAAGTCTGGCTCCTGGAAGAATATCATGAGCTGCAAACAAGCAGTGAAAACAGAGCTGACTGATAGACGAGTTCAGTGTGACTCAAAGATAAAACAAGAGAGCAGACGTTAGAAATAAACCAGACAATGAGGTGAGAGGAGAGGCCATTACACACACAGGGTTGTTGGGGGGGGGGGGGGGGGTAAATGAAAAGACAACTGCTGGGTGAATGATGGATAGCAGGTACAACAAGGGAGCAGAGGAAGGGGAGGGGGGCGGTAATTAGATCGTGAGCAGTGTCATACCACAGATAATGAGGCCGTTTATATTCCAGTGAAGTTTTCACCTCAGTCTATCAGTCGTCCTGAAACAACCTCGTCCCAGAATTCCCTTCTTTCCTTCATAATCCAATTTGTATGCTGCGTTTTAAAAGACAACGATCTCACAAACGGAGCGTGTTGGTCATTTACTCCTCTTTTCGGCTAGTTATCCTCACACAGAATGCTCATTTCATAATGCTGCAGTATGGAGCCATTTTTATGTCTAGAGTCTACAGGGAGTATCTCTGTGACCGATGGAGACTAGTTGGTGATTCAAAACCTAAGAAAATAGTCCGTTTTTCTGTTGCGATCTCACTGAACTCTGAATGTTTGCAACCAAGCGACCAGAGAGCCATGCAGCTGCTTTTTCTTTGCCAGATTTTTGAAACTCCTAACTTATTTGCATGTTCAAGGCTTTAAAAAAAGCTAAATTTTAGGCCCCACAACGTTCAGTCTGGTCATCTGGATGATTTATTTTTTTTGTTGAGATGTTTCGCCCTTCAAACAAAGGACTTTCTCTCAGAGGAGCCACAACAAACTCAGTCCCACAAGCAGCACACTCACATGGACCAACCAGTTTGCTGGTGATAAGATGCTATGCTTTTGTGTTTTGAACCACTTTGGCTATGGCTGCCTCAGAGGAGTCACGGGGGAGAGGACGGACTCCAGAAACCATTTTATCACCAGCAAACTGGTTGGTCCACTTTGGGAGTGTGCTACTTTTGGACTGAGTTTGTTCGAGGATCCTTGGACTGATGAAGTCCTTTGGATGAAGGATGAAACGTCTCAACAAAAAAAGAAACTGTCCAGATGACCTGACTGAACATTGTTGGATTATTTACCTGGATTATTGAGCATGGGCTTTGATCAATTTTAGACCAAAAACGTTATTTTGTTGCCAACCTAGCCCCCACATTGTACTCACCTTGGTGGCTGCTTCTGTGTTTAATTTAATCGACTGGCATACAGCTTTTAAAACCGTTTTTTCAAGTAAATATGTGGTGTTTTAGATCTGGGTTTAAAATTTTTCCATTTCCTGACATAGGACATGTCTTATGCAATAGTGCTGAAGAATTTACAGAAAACTAAATTGGGACACATTGAAAACGCTGGCGACAACTTTGAGATTTTTTTTTAAAACCAGTTCAAAGTTTAAAATTTAAATTTTAAACTAGTCACTAGCAGTTGCAACTCCCTTAAGTTTCCAAGTTTTACAGCGCCACAAAAACATGTTCTACTTAAAGCTAATCTGTGCTTACCTCAACATAAGTAGACAAAAACAGACATGAGGTTTTCATTCTGTTTTATTATTGTCATGTATAATAGACTGGAGCTGCAATTACCTCCTAAATTTGGTTTTTAGAAAAAGCTTTGCTTACTTTTTAACTTCTTTGGTCAGTTTCCAATCTAACTTTTCCAGATGTTATAAATTGCTCCTTCAAATATAACTCATAGTTTTTTAAGGATCATTTTATAATTACCTAACGCAAATTTCTTGTTATCTTTCAGTAACAAACCAACAATTTTCAGTCAGGTCATCTTGACAGTTTCTTTTTTTTTTCTGAAACGTTTCACCTTTGATCCAGAAGGCTTCATCATTCAAGGAAACACAACACAAAACTGATTCTTCCCTCAAACAGCTTACTCCAAAGTGGAACAAACCAGTTATGTTGGTGCTAAGATGGTGTCTTTGGCACGTTCCCTCCTCTGTGGCTGGCCCTCTTCCTCGTCGACAGTCATGTCAAACTGGTTCAAAACCAAAAAAGGTGAAACGTTTCAGCAAAAAAAATAAACTGTCCAGATGACCTGACTGAAAATTGTTGGATTGTAAACCTGGATTATCGAGCATGGACTTTGTTGGTTTCAGTAACAAACCAATCAAAACAAACTTGTTCACGTCTTCACTGTCAGGCATGTAACGTCAAAATCATTCAAATATGGAGAATCGGCAATAATCTTTTAATCTGTAAAATTCAGACTGAAACTAATCGAAGGTTGTAAATTAGGATGTTTTTCTTACTGCAAGCGCCGAATAATCTTTGAGCACTTCCTTAAAATCCATGTCTGAGTTTCTAACTTGTATCTCCTTCTCTTCCTCCAGGACTTCGTCAACCAGTTGCTCTGCAGGATAAAAGGAATGAGAAAACTCAGCACTACGAGCAAGAATGGCTTGTAGTGGTTTTTATCATCAACGGATCGTATACAATGTCATTTCAGCTCCACCTTATCCACTCCTCAGCCTGCAAACATACATCATGAAACCCATGAATTCGCACTAGCCGTTGGTTTTACTGTCACACAGGATGTACAATAATAATAATTAAATATGACTGCTGACATAAAAACACAATATCATTAAAACAGCAACAAGGTAATGTTAAGCCCTGGAATGTGCCAGAATGTGCTTTAATCTTAATACTACCACCTAGTTCTCCGTTTCAGAGCAACGTTCAAAGTTTTAAAAACAAACCCATAATAAAAATCAGCCATACAGACTGAAACACGGGCAAATCCTATAGAAAAAGGGTGGTGTTACATGGTTGTAAAATTTGCAGCAGCACTAAGTAAACACAGTGCTTTGTAATGTTTTTTTTAAATATTCGGCTGTTCTGCTGTTACGTCTTTTTAAAAACTGTTTGTCGCCATTTTTTGTTCGTGTAAGTGAAATGTGGTTTCTCGGCCTCTCGTTTGTTAACTTTCTTCTCTTTACTACATCGCCACTTGTAATGTGAGGGAGATTTGTGGGTTTGTTTCGAAGCACAACACGTTAATGCATCTGTTCTGTTGTGATGTAAAAACTCTGGGGGGGAAAAGGGACATATTTGCAAACCTATAGCTGAAATACTGTTAATGTGTTGTTACAAACTATTCTGGTGTACTGTTTCCCACAGCAAGGCATGATGGGTGTTGCAGTTCTCCGGATGAGGCTGCAGAAACCTGTATGACTGGCAGCCTTCCAGTGACCACGTTATTTGGATGTCTGATGACCATTCTAGCTGTTTTTCCACGTTTCGTTCGCTTGTGCTGACTCTTTTCTTTGACAGTGGGAGATGTTGCCTTTAAGGACTTTCAGGATATGTTCAGATCGTTTTTTTCTTAACGCTAACCCTTAACTACTGACAGCCTAAAAGTTAATGTGGTTAGGTCAGAGCCTGAGGAAAACATGAAATGTTGATGCTCCAACCAGGCAGGTTTTGTATCGGAAAGTGCGCCAAACTGGGAGTTTCGCATCTCAAGTCATTTGTGAAAGAGACTGCTCATACAACTGCAAAAAATATCTGAGTAAGCACACATTTTAAGACATTTCAAGCCTTTATAGATGCAAAAAAAACAAATAAATAAATGCTACAACTCCATAATCCCAGGTAAAAAAAAAAAAAAAAAAGAGTAAACTTAGCTATTACTTGTTAATAGCCTTCTGTGCGCTATGGTATATGAGAAGCCGTATAAGACATAAATCAGAATTAGCTTGCACACACACCTATGAAACACAACTTTCACATACTATACTGAAAACCTTACACACAACTGAAAAGTTGCCTCCCATAGCGCACCAACAAGATGGACAAAAAAACAAACAAACTGTAAGCTTTGGTACAATCACACCTCTGGTATGAAGTTTCATTTCCAAGCAACATAACCCTGAACCTGCAATGCAACATGAACCCTCAGTTGCCAAAGAGAAAAGTTTGGCAGTATTCGTTTTGAAGAACACAATGCTTACTCCACCAGTCTTGCATGCTAACACTGGAGATTAACGTTCCTTAAGGTATATAATAACCTTATAATCAAGCAAAAAATGACTTTCTTTGACTTGTCTCTAATGTACGCCTTTGTAGATCATTTTTTGTCGAGACAACGTGAGTGTCACGTTGGAGCGAATTCAGGAATATTATAAAATGGTGCTGTTTTGGTGTTCTTCCCAGAATTTGGTTGGTAAAGATAAAAAGGCTTTCACTGTTGACTAATGCCAGAGAAATGTGTTTGGAAGGAATATGTCTGTCTGAAATGGCATCTTTGTATGTTTTTTCTTCTCTAAGTGACCTGGGAAGGCTTTATTTTAAAGTAATAGTCCAGATTTTTTGAAGTGGAGTTCGGTTGAAAGGCTTTGAACAAATATCTTACCTGTTGTAGATAGATCTTTAAAAGCCTCAGTTTGAAGGAATGGAGTTTAATTTGACAGGATTAATCAGCTAACAGCTAGTCAGTGGATGACTAAGACCAAAAGGAAGGGTACTGGGGGCCTTTAAGATGGCAGAAATCTAAGGCTGTTTAACCGCCACAGTATCTACAACAGGTAAGATATTGTTTATTAAATTCTCCCAGAACTCCTATTTAAATGATCGGAATTATCACCAGTATGACTTAGAAATGGTTTAAAAAGAAACATTTTCCAGTTCTGTGTTCAAGAGGAAGCTAAGTTATGTCATGGTACATAACAGGATTTATAGGATTTTATGTCAAGCGTCAGTTCAGGGACAAAAGGTTGATATTTTACAACTTACGGTTCTGCATGTGGAGATTATTTTGAAAGTCTTCATACTAGAAAGCTTTACACGTGCATGGTTTTTATAGCATGTTGAGGGGAAAACGTTCTTGGCCTAAAGGTTGTTTTTTTATTTAATGAATCAAAACACTTTCCTTTTTTATAACTTTATTATAACTGCTAATATTAGTAGAATTAGGAATATGAACAGTTGCGTTTTGAGCTGAAGTTTAATTTCTGTACATCCAAAACGAGTATTCTTGTTTCTAAAGTGTAATGTAGTGTGTGATTTGTTTTTTTTTGTTTGTTTTTGCTGGAAATAAAACGCAGACTAACTCTGCATTGTTTAAAGTAATGCCTGTAATTGTGATTATTTTATTTTATTTTGTTGCAAATGAAAAATCAGACTATTCATTCAAGTCTTTATTACAAATATAAAGTTATATATGCTTCGCTAATAAACAGGAATGCTTTTATGTTTGTGAAGCTTTTTTATTATCTAAAAATATGATCCATGTTAAAAGATAAGGAGAACAAAACAAAACAAAGAAGAATAGGGATTTGATTAAATAAGAAGAATAATTAATGAGCAACACAAGTATGTAAATCTTTGGGATTACAGCTATGAAGTGATGCAGGTGAGTGACACAGTTAAAATAAAGATAACTGAAAACATCGAGGGTAAACAAAAACGACAAAATCATGTCTTAAACGGGATTAAGTGCTGAAAACTTGCTGAGTGAGTTCCACAGTGGTTTTGTGTTGAATTTAATGTTTTAGTTTAAAGTTTAAGGGCAGTAATATAAGATATAAATCAATTAAAGGATTAACATTCCTTGAAGAAGCGCATGTCACTCACCTTTTGTGCCACAGCTTTTAAAAGGTGGAGTTATAACTGGTTTGGTTTTAAACGATAACATGAAGTCACGCTATATTGCAACACTTCATGCAATCTGTTTGCACTCAGAGAACGTGTTCTGAATGACTCGGCTGCTTGCACGTTGAAGTGCGACTCAATTTCTGTAAAACTGTCCGAATTCGGCCTTTTTGTGTTTGTACTGGCAGTAGCAGCATTCTTAAATTAAAAAATAGTCAGTTTTTCCATTAGCATTTACAAAAAGCAAAGCTTAAAGGACTCAGCTGCCATAAGAAGTTAAGTAAAACTAACTTAATTTCTTAGAGTTTTAAAAAAGAAAAAAACTCAATATTCTAGCTTCAGAAAGTTTTTTCATTAGCAGAGCATGATGGGGGTAGTTTCATGGTTTTGAACTTGTTGCACCTGGACAGCCAAAGATTCTTTGTTAGGAAAAGTAAGAATTTGTTTAACACTTTTCAAAAATAAATAACAAAAAGTTTCACACAATACTAAAACATTAAAAGAGAACAAAATGTTGCTTTTGATTGAATAAAATTAATCAAAATGAAAGTTACACGAGACATTTTCATCAGTTTTATTTTTTTTATTTTAGTGAAATGATTCTCAGTGGACGTTTAAAGAAAGTACTTTTCATTTTAAAACCAAAATCTTGAAATTTTGTAGTAAAACCCACTGATATCTCAAAGATGACGCAAGTTTCATTCAAAATAATGACCTCAAATTTCTCCAGGCTGACCGATCAAACACTACCAGAATGGTACAGCTACACCAGTTAGAAAACAAACAATAAAATATGATCCAAAAACAAATTTCCAATATGGGAACAACTAGTAATATTATACAGTTTCATATCGTAGTATAAATATTGTAAATTTTTAGTTCAAAACCCTATTGTGCATTTAAAATCTAAATAAATTGTATTCTTTTTTTTTAGCTTTTACTGAAAAAAATAGTTATGTTTATCATGTTTTTGGTGAAACAGCAAATAACATGAAATATTCACAGACTTTAGAACTCCAATGTGCCAAAATAAAGCAATTTTTTTTTGTCTGGTAAATACCATTATTGTTTGCCATAGTTTTACAGACTATAACTTAAAATCCTTTAATTTTCTGAAAACACCGACAGTGAGCTTTATAATCCAGTGCACATTATGTATTAATTCTGGTTGTGCTTACTGACCTCGAACCAATTTTGTGTTCATGCTCATATCAGGTCTCTCTTGTAAATGAGACCCCGAGGCTCAATGGGATTAACTTGTATAAATAAAGGTTGAATGAATCGTGTACAACTGAACAATGCTGAGAGTTACTGTGAATGAGTTGACAAAAGTTTGACTTATTTGACTGTTTTGTTTTGCTTAATGCGCCTTATAATCTGGTGCGCCTTATAAGTTAGATTTATTTGTCATGTGCAAAATCAACACAAGGTCAACAATGTAATGAAATGCTTAGGACAAGAAAAACCGGCTTGACACGCCAAAAGAAAAGAAAACAACAGCAAGAAATATCAAACCATGCAGCAAAAATACTAAAAACATACTAAAAATATATATACTACTAACATACTAAGTAAAACATATTAAAAATACTACTAACATACTAAGTAAAACATTAAAAATACTAACATACTAAGGAAAATATTAAAAAAATACTACTAACATACTAAGAAAAACATTAAAAATACTAACATACTAAGGAAAACATTAAAAAAAATACTACTAACATACTAAGAAAAACATTAAAAATACTACTAACATACTAAGGAAAACATTAAAAAATGCTACTAACATACTACAAAACAAGGCACCAAAGGTGAAAAAGAAATATATCTACAGTGTGATTGGGTTAGCAATGAGGTTCTTTCAACATCATGGTTCTGTTCTGTTAGCGGCATGGTGTTTTTAGCAGCTTAGAAGGTCTTGTTAGCAGGTCCGGTCCGTAGCTTGATGGTAATAAGGACCGCAGCAGCTGCCCTCACAGACTGCAGTCCAGTATGTATGAAAACAGATCTGTTCATTGAAATTGCGCCTTATAGTCCCAAAAATACGGTATGTTTCTTCAAGCAGGCAGCTTATTTAGAGTCTCTGAACTAGCTCATCTCCAACATAAGCAACAAAGCTCAACATTTACCATGTTCTGTACCTTTATCTATCTTTTTTACTGTTAAAATAAGTTTCTGAAAATCAGACAAAATTCAATTCAATTCAAAAATACTTTATTAATCCCAAAGGGGAATTAATTGTTGTTGTTGTAGCTCATCCTGGTTTCATTAGAGTTGTTCTAGATACTGATGGCTGTGGGCAGGAAGGATCTCTTGTAGTGGTCTGTCCCACAGCAGATCCAAAGAAACTGGCTGCAGATGCTGATCCCTCCACCCAGACCCAGCAGACCTCTTGGTGCCCTTGGGCAGCAAGACCATCTGAATGCCGGGCAGAACTCCTCCCCGAATGATGGCCATCCCTCCCAGGAGCCTGCCGAGCTCCTCGTCGTTGCGGACAAAACTGCAGGTGCTGGACTTGAGCCTGCCTCCAGGTAAATGGGAATGCATCCATGGCACCTCCTTTTCAACTCATTTGGGATTTGGTACTGTAGTTGCAGTAATTTTTGAGCTTTTGAGATGTTAATTAGAAGCTTCCAGTTGTAGAAAGCCACCTTGTTGTTATGGTTACGCATCATAACAAATGTCCAAAAGTAAAAAGGTTTCAATAAAAATCCTTCCATCTGCACAGCATCCAAAACCAGAAGAAATATCCATCCAAAAAAAGTGATTTACATCCAGAAAAAAAATAATTCAAGTTGTCAAAAGCAAAATCTCAGAATGAAAGTAAGACAGCTACTCCAACCATGTTGGAGTAGCTGTGTAAATATCTTTTTTTTTCCCAGCAAAAGATAAAAAATGCTTTTATTTAAAAAAAATTACAGAGTAATTTTTTCACAGCATTGTTTCTGCACAATAAGGGCCATATTAGAGTTGCTTGGCTGGCAGTGTGCACCTCCTCGGAGCAGAGTAGTGTGACAATAGTTTAGTAGGACAGCCCCGCATGCTGTCTGCTTCTGTAACGATCTCATGGGGGGGGGGGGG